GCGACCCCGACCTGTGGGCTCGCGCGGCGCCAAGTTGCTGCTGGGCCCGGGGTCGCTGTCCAGCGCGCGGTGCTGAAGTCGCGGAGCCGACCGTGGCGGCCGCGCACCGGCTGCCTGGCGCCGAGAAGTTAATACTTTCGCAGTCCCTGCTGGACTTGAGCCGTGAGCGAGCCTGGGATCGATACCGATCTGGGATTCCGATCTAGTGCTTCCCTCCCATCTGCAGACCGGCTCGGCACTACAGTGCCAATGCCGCGGAAAGCCCGGTCGGCCGGGAGCCAGCGGGGGACCCTGCTTTCCATCCTGAGTGGGGGACGGCGTGGGGGATCCCTCCAGCACCCAGCGCCCGGCCACATCGCGCCTGCAATGGAAACAATCACGAGACGCAGAAAATTGCGGGTGCCGGAGCCTCTTACGGACGGAGGGTGCAGGAGGCGGCGGTCGGCTCGGGCAGGATAGGGGCTTCCATCTAATATGCAGATGCGTTTAAATGGGGAACAGCCTGCGTTTCCTTCCAGGGATTGCTAACGTTGGGTATTAGCATATTTAGATGAGCGTCAGGTTAGCATTCCGGATCTGATGAGTCCCACGCTTCTATCATCTTGTGAGCGTCTCTGAGATAGGGAAACTTGCCTATCTATCCTGTAACTCCTCATTTGGAGTGCGGCGGCAGGGCCCACGTCCGAGGCGCCTCGTTCCGGGGTGCGCTGCGGTTCAAGTCGGCGTACCGAGGCTACCTCGCGCGGGCCTGAGCTTGTTATAGCGCACAGCAGCCACTAGAGGTGCTTCACGTCAAGGAAAGACATCCCCCCTTCCTCTGTAGAAAGCACTGCATTTCCCCTCCCCTTTCCTAGTGTAAATTAAGAGAGACAGAGAGACAGAGACAGACAGAGAGAGTTCCCTCCCCAGAAAACTTTGCATTCATACTTTAAATATTTTTATGTTGCCTACTTGGGTTTCACATAATAATCGTTTGAGCCAGGATAATAGTTGTATGCCAAGGGATGACAAAAAATAAACAAATAACTAAATGCATGTCTGATTTTGAACAAAGTGGACAGGGAGGGGTTTCAGAGCCCTGAGGGCCACACCTCATTAACTCCTTCTGCCTGCGGAAGATGTCTCCTGTCCCCGAGGGAGGCTGCCTCCGGCCTCTGACCCTGCTTTTCTGGGTTCACGCTCCATTCTGAGCACCCCAGGTTCAGTTTGGACACAGGCCTGCCTGCCTTTTCTCTGACGTTGCCTCTGTTGGCATTGCTAATCCTCAGGCCACTGTGAATCTCAACTCCTTAGCTATTTTGATTTTGAGATTATGAGCTAAGTAAGCATTTGTGTTTAAAACCGGTAAGGGGTGTGTGTGTGTTAATATTCAGTGTTGTGTTAAAGGCACGTTGTAGGCTGTATGTGCCCCCGTGCTCTGGAAAAGGGCTCAGAAATTGTGTCAGGAGTGGCTGGCTCGCCTGTCCCACAGTGGCGTCTCCTCCTCCCTCCCGTGGCAGGAACGCACAGCTAACCATACTCCGTGCCCAGGGCTTCCCACTCACACCTCAGGTTTGGAGAATAAGCTAATGCTTTGTCACGACTCAGCCGTGAAAACTTTCCCTCCCATTTCCTTTGATTTGTGAACAGGTAGAGATTTTCTTGATCAGGGAAAGAGGAAATTATCCTATGTGATCAGACGTGCCCGTGTAAACATTCCCCTGGAAAGCTGTCAGCCCGGGCACGTTGGCACGGAGCAGAGTCAGCTGGTGCAGGCTAACATGCTTCTCTCTCTCTCTCTCTCTCTGGGTTACAGTGGCTGCTGGGTGCCCACTCCCCGGTCATAGGACTGTCCCCCTCTTCCACGATGGAGCGGCTGCCCATTTTTCCCCATGTCTTCCCATCTGCTCTGCCAGCTCTGGTTGGAAAAAGTTGGAGAGACAAAAGGATACCAAACTGCAAGGTAAAACCACACGTGATTTAACGGAATTGATGGGGTCTTAATAATTAGTTGTTGGCTATTTCCATGACAACTGAACATTCGGTGCAGTTTCTCACTGGAATAGACTCAGCCTCTGGGTGTAGGCTGAGGCTGTATCAGAAGGAGGTGGATGGCTCAGACGCGCCAGCCCTCAGCGGGAGCGTCGCGGGTTAGCTTACAGGAGGCGGAGGGTACAATGCTTCCACTACCAGATCAGGTTCTTCAAAAAACCCTTGTTTTTCGAATGTTCAGTTTTTAAATCTGTAGCCATGGACCAAGGGTCTAGCCTTACACTTTAGGTAAGGACAATTTCAAATTTCCAATGAGGGTGTTTTGTTATTATTATTATTTTTTGGTAATTGTCTATTTGCATTTCCATCTTTCTGATGGTTTATCTTGGCTTTATCTTGGAACCCAGAGGGACTGGCTGTACTGGGCTCTGCTGAAAATGAAAGAAAGGACGAGTTGAATTTTTCCCTACAACCTGCTCGTGACCTCATTAGTCTGATTCTTCCATCTGCTACACGCATGCTTGAAGACAAACCAACCGATGGCCATTGAGTCTGCTGGGACTCACAGTACAGCGACCTCTACAGGACAGAGCGGAACTGCGAGTTCCGCGGGTGTCCCAGGCTGTTCATCTCCACAGGAGCAGACAGCTGCATCTTTCTCCCAAGAAGCAGCTTGGTAGTTTCCAACTCCTGATGGGCTTCGCAGTTAGTAGACCAGCACATTAACCGCTACACCACCGGTCTCCTCATGGTTCAAGACCGTTTGGGAGGATATAATGATGAGATGATTGGGAACAGGGGTCCAGGGGTCTCTATTTCTATCATAGAGCGGATGTTACGGAGTTCCCACGTAGGAAGCTGGCCCACTCTGGGGCAGTTCAAGAGAAGACATTGCCATTGCAGGGCTACTGTCCCCGTGTGCCTTGCCTAAAATGTGGTGTTTACTTTGATTTTGGACAGATCATTTTCAACAATCCCTTTGCTCTGGACTCGGCATGGATACATCCTGAGGAATGCAGACTGTTCTGTGCTCAGGAGAAGCCTCACTGGCTGGCCGATCACATCGCGCTGACTCTGACCAGGCCGCCCCCGGTGGTCAGACATCTTCCTGCCATGGTGCTTGCTCCTCGGCCAGTCCCAGGTGGGTGGCCAGCCAACTGGTGGTGCCAATGTATTTTTTTTCTCTCTGTTCACCGAAAGTGGGTTTTTGATAAGAAAATGAGGTTTTCCGGGTCAACAAAGCAGTTCTTTCAGTAGACTGTGCTTCCTTTGTGGGCAGGGTTATGTTTACGGGGACACTGGGTCTTGAGTCACTTCCTGGCGGTCGGTCCCTCTGGGGGAGACTGTTTTCAGGTGACCAGAGGTAGAGGACCGCCTCAGCCCTGTGGCGCCAGCATCCTGTTCTGATTGGAGCATGTCTTCCGCGGTGGGTTCTCAAAAGGGCGCTAGCTGCTCAGTTCACTCAGCTGGGTTGCTGGTGTGCGTGAGACTTGCGCAGCGGGGTCCCCCAGTCCGAGCACCGGCTCTGTGGGAGCTCACACGGCTTCAGTGTGCAGGGTGGTTTGAGTCTATCTTTGGGTTCTGGTGATTTGGAAGAATACTCCAGCCGACATGCATGGAACAATCTTCCGGTGAAAGATGGCGTAATAAACCTACCTAACAACAGGAGGATAAAGCCATCTTATGAATTTTTAAATTGATTTCTTAAAATCACCTTAACACACAATCATATTATAGAAGCAAATGCTGCCCGTGCCAAAATGATCTTGCAACACCTTCCATTATGGGACCTTTATGACTTCAGAATTTCATTATCTTCCCGTAATTTCCTAGCGACCTGGCTTGTCTCAATACGTGTCTGGGAAATTCAGTCATCAGGCGCGGTTCCCCAGGTGCTGTGATGCTGGGCGGGGTGCCTGCTTGTCTTCTTTTCTGGTCCCACCTCCCTGACTCTGGTTTGCTGTGACTCTGGGCTAGCAATCAGTCACAAAGAACACCCTGGCTATGTTGGGTATGTGTTGTGTTTCAGCAGAACTTAATGAGTCTCGACTGAAATTTGCCTTCTGTCCTCGTCCTTGTGCACCACTGATTAATTAGAGCAAAGCGGGTGTCACGCAGGCACGCGTGTATAAACGTGCTCCACTGGGGTGAGCGTGCTCCTGATGAGAGAAAGGACCACCCCGAGGTGTGTGTGACGAGAAGGCGCTGGGGCGGAATCCCCTCACTTTCTGGCTGGGGCTGTCTCTCAGCCAGCAGAACACCTCATGTCCAAAATCACGAGACCGGCCCACATGCTCCCGTGGGGCTTTGGAGAGAACCCCGTCTTCCTCCAGGAGGTGCATATCATGTAGACGTTTACCAGCATGGCTTAATCTTCTTCTTAGGGAATGCTGGCTATTAAAATGCTAAATGCCTGTTTAGCTGGGGAAGCTTAAGATAACTTCCTATCTGCTTTCTGGCATATAGGAGTTGGTGTACCTTACTATGGCATGGTAAATATTTAATACTTGCTTCAAAGTGAATTTTTCATCTAAGGTTTACCTTTTTGCCTATCCTGTGCGGAAGGCTATGGCAAGGAGGCTGCCTTATTCACGTGCAGGCCACCTTTCATCCTGACTCCACTCACTGCCAACGAGTTGATTCTGGCTCAGTGACTCCAGAGGACAGGGTCGAACTGTCCCTGTGGGCTTCTGAGACTGTAACTGTTTACAGGAGTAGGAAGCCTCATCTTTCTCCTGCGGAGCGGCCGGTGGGTTTGAACTGTTAACTTTGTGGTTAGAAGCCCCATGTGTAACCCACCACACCACCAGGCTCCTCCATTTGAACCTGGTCTGCCACTGTAAAACCCCCAAACCCACAAACAACCCCAAAGGCTCACTGCAGTCGGGTTGATTCTGGTTCACAGCAACTCTAGAATGGGGTAGGCTGGTCCCTGTGGGTTTCTGAGACTGTAGCGTGCTCTATCTCTCTTTCTCATCGCTGCCAAGTGAATTCTGGTTCATAGCAACCATGTAGCACAGCGCAGAACTGCCTCTGTGAGTTTCTGAGGTGGTCAGTCTTGATGAGTGTAGACAGCATGGTCTTTCTCCTAGGAAAGGAGTCGGGTGGGCTCAAACTGCAGACGTGGTGGTGAGAAGCCCATGGCTTCATCCCCTGTGCCAGCACCGGGGGCTGCCATTTGTCAAACCTCTGCTTCTCTTCTTTGCTTTTTCCCTGACCATGGAGCGCAGGGTATGAGGCCTGGGGCCTGGGAGGGAGGCTTTACCTCCTGTGGTTTGGGGACACTGACACTTCCTCCAGGGTCAGCCACACACCTGAAAGCCCCCTTGTCTCCAGAGGTGGACTTCCGATTTGCCTCATGGTAAATCTGGTTCTTGATAAATGTCAGAACCACCAGAAATGAGCAGCTCTGGGAAGGCGGATGACCATTGCTGTGGTGTCTGAGCACCCTGGGGAGCTTGCTGGGCTGTGTGCGTGTGGTTGTGGTGGATGGTGGGCACCATGAGTGGCTGTCAGGCTCACATTGACCCCGTGAGCCTGGGGGACAGAGGAGCGCTGCCCCCACCAACCTGGGTGGTGACCTTCCCAGACCCTCAGGTCACAGGTCAGCAGCTGGGCTCGGCACGGTGGCGTCATCATGGTTTCTCGGTGTGGTGCTGCCAACTGCTGATTAGAGAGCTGGAGGGGGACGGGCAAAGATGGAAGGCAGGGTAGACCAGCAGCCAGTTAAAAACCAAGACCCCCTGCTCCCGTCTTACTGCAGGGAACTTGGAATAGCACTCCCGTGGAACATGTTACACACACGATTCCGTGTGCGATCCTGCAAATGGGCTTTGCGCTTCCACTGTCACCGTAGCCTTCTGCAAACCAAGTGTTCACAGCTTTCGCTCCCACGCAAACTCCCACCTTTGGATTTGGGTTCCACCATTTGCCGTCCTGGGAGCACACCGGCTGTGTGGCAGTGGCTGGGCTTGACTGGCTGTCCTGGAAGGACATTGTTCCTAGAGCGGCTCTCGGGAGCCTGTCTTGTGCTAGCGTCACAGTGTCACCCCTCTCCTTCTGCTGGGGGTTGAAGATGAAGTCCGCAGAGAGAGTCCTGGATGGTGTCCCCTGTGCCGTGAAACGGGCTTTGGGAAAACACAGCATTGATGCTCTGGGCACCTGGGCCAGGGAGAGGCCACTCATGAAGGCGACGGTGGTGTCAGATTGGGCTCAGCACTCACGGCAGATGGCCCCTCTCTGGAGTGGAGGTGGTGGTCAGTGCTGATCATCTTTCATCACTCATCCAGCAGGCTGTGGGGAGTCGCTGGGTGGTCCACCCTTGAGCACGTGACCACTAACTGAACTTGCTCAGTCTGAACCCTCCCCCCAGGCTCCTTGGAAGAAAGTCCTGGAGTCTGTCCCTGGAAACCCTGCCCCGAGGCCAAAGGTGGCTGCTGAGCGTGGAGTCACACACCAGGGCTGGTCCCCTTCCCTGCACAGGGCCTGGGCGCAGGGTCTGCTCATGGAGGGGGGCAGCCTCATCTGTGGACAGCCCCACAGAAGGCGGGGGCATGTGCTCCTATCATCCAAGTGGCAGGATGGGACCTGGATCAATCACAGCAGGATGCTGGGACCTGATCAGTCAGCAGGAGGGCGCTGAGGTGGGAAGAGGGAAGGGGACTCCCACAGAACTGTCCATGGCAGAAGAGCTCTCAGAAACTTGAGCTGAGGTGCGGCGGGCGCGGCCAGTACCCAGAGGGACAAGCAGCGACGGGGCCATGCTGTGGGCAGGTCCAGGGATGCTCTGCAGCCCCCCAGCACAAAGGGTGCCCTCCCCTCCCCCACCCCCCACACACACAGACCAGCTCCTGGCTGCAGGCTCCTCAAGAACCAGACAGGCACAGACAGGCGGGCTCAGACAGCTGATCAATAATAGCGCGGCTCCATACAGGATTGTCCCTAATTGCAGTGTGAATGGGCTGAGTGGAGGACACATTTATTCCCAAGACTCAGGAACTGACTCAGGCTCAGACAGGCCGGGCAGCCAGCAGCTTCTCCTCCCCTCCCCTGTGTCCTGCTCCCCTGGGGAGAGCAGGGGTGGGGCTATGCTGTCTGTCTCCTCCCTCCTCCAGAGACAGGGTTCACATTAGGGCAGGTGCCACCCACTGCCTCTACTCCCTCAGCACCGCCCTCCCCCACGCAGGACTCGGCGGCCCCCAGGCTGCCCAAGGCAAGCCGGAAGCTGACCAGGTGGTGGCAGTGCCCCTGTGGGCCGATGTTCCTCGGGCGGGGTGGGGGAGGATATCTTCTCAGAGGACTGTGAAGGATGAGAACTGACGTGCCCTCAAGCATTTTCTAGAAGACACCCAGGGTACCAAAGGTACCAAGTAGGTGGAGACAGCAAGGTCAGTCACCTATGTCCAGCCAGGCCAAAGCAGGGCCTACAGCTGGGGACTAGCGCCTGGTGTAATGCTAGGGTACAGCAGCCTTCCCCCGATCAAAGCCCTGCCTCTATTCTTGGTTGGAAAAGCTGTAAGATGTCTTTTAACATGAAGATCTACAAACAAACACCCCCCCAAATGCATGGCCATCAAGTCAGATTCTGACCCCTGACAAGCCTGTAGGAGATAGACTAGCACTGCCCTGAGACTGTTATGAGACTATAACGTTTTACAGGAGTAGAGAGCCTCTTCTTTCTCCCCAGGAGCTGCTGGTGGTTTTGAACTGTTGACCTGGTGGTTGTCAGAGCAACACCTAACCCCTATGCCCCTAGGGTGCCTACAAAGATATGAAACTGAAAAAGCCCTCACTGCCCTTGAGTCAATGCTGACTCACAGCAGCCCTATGTAGGACAGGGTAGAACTGCCCCTGGTGGGTTTCCAAGACTGTAACTCTTTACAGGGATAGGAAATCTCACGTCTCTCCCACAGAGCAGCTGGTGCTTTCTGACTGCCACTTTGTGGCGAGTAGCTCAACGCGTAACCACAATGCCACTGGGGTTCCTGCAGAGACCCACGGAGGGTGAGCCACAGACGGTGACCCAGAGCAGGCCCATGTTGCAGCGGCTGTGTCCATGGTAATCTGCTGCCACTGCTTGGTCCCTGCGCTGACCACCCTGCATGGGTCTCCCAGGCTGTGGATCTTCATGGGCAGGGCCAG